GGATTTTTTTTCCTTTTCATTGTTCTGATTGGGTGTTTTCTTTTATCTTATCTTCCAAATTGCTGATTCAACACTCTGCTTCATCTAATCTACTACATTTATTCCCTCTAATGTATTCTTCATTTCAGTGATTGTATTCTTCATTTTTGCTGATTCTTTTTTATATTTCCTAATCTACATTTTTATGTTTTCTATCTCTTTGTTGAAGTTCTCCCTGAGATCACTGAGCATCCTTATAACCAGTTTTTGAACTCCACATCTGATAGATTGCTTGTCTCCGTTTTGTTTAGTTCTTTTTCTGGGCTTTGTTCTGTTCTTCTAGTTGGGACATGTTTCTTTGTCTCCTCATTTTGGCTGCCTCCCTGTGTTTATTTTTATGTATTAGGTAGAGCTGCTATGTCTCCTGGTCTTGGTAGAGTGGCCTTATGTTGTAAGTGTCCTGTGGGGCCCAGTGGTCAGCATCCCTGGTCACCTGACCTGGGTGCTCAGGTGTGTCCCTTGTGTAGGTTGTGTGCCCTCCTATTGTAGCTGAGCCTTGATTGCTCTTGCCACATCAATGGGAGGGAGCGACTCTCTGGCTGAGTGGTGAGGACTGGCCTTGACTACAGTGGAGGAGCTGTTGTGTAGGGGCTGATTGTACAGAGCAGGACTTGCTTCAGCAGGGCTTTGGTGCCTGCCCGGTGTGCTGTTTGGGTGTGTCATTTCTGGAGGTGGTTGGGTGGTGCTCTGGTGTGGTCTGAAGCTGGCCACTGGGTGTGTTGGTTCTGGGGCCTCTTGAGAGGGGCTCAATAATAGTTGTCCTGTAGTTTTGTTGTAATTTTGATGTGGTTGTGGGAGGAGGTGAGCACAGCATTTACTAACTATACAACCTTGACCAGAAGATCTGTTTGTAGTTTCTGAGGATTATTAATAAGCTGCCCTTAAGATTTATGTTCAAGTTTGAGAGTGAACATAGCTTTCATCTCACTTGGGTAAATAGTTAGGCATGAGATGCATGATTCATATTGTATTCTTAATTTTATAAGAAACTGCCAAGTTGTTTTCCAAAGTGGCTCTAACATTTTACATTCCCACCAGCAATGTATGAGAGTTTTATTGCTCTGCATTCTTGCCAGCCCATGATATTCCATCTCTCTTTTTTTTAACGTGTCAAATTTTGTAATTGTATCTCATTGTTGTTTTAACTTGCAGTTCTCTAATGACAAATAATATCGATCATCTTTCCTTGTGCTTATTTTCCATCCATATGTTTTCTTTGGTGAAGCGTATGTTTAAATCTTTTGCCCATTTTATTTATTTATTTGTTTTTTTTAAATTAAATTTATTGGGGTGACAATAGTTGGAAAATTTACATAGGTTTCAACTGTACAATTCTATAATACATCATCTATATATCACATTGTGTGCTCACCACCCAGAGTCAGTTCTCCTTGCCCATTTTTTAAAATATATTGCTTGTTTTCTTGTTATTAGGCTTTAAGGTTCTTTATAATTCTAAACACATGTCCTTTATTAGATATGTGATTTGTATACATTTTCTCCCTGTCTGTGAGTTTCAAAGGACAAATATTCTTAGTTTAAATGCAGTCCAATTTATTTATTTGTTCTTTCATTCACTGTGTTTTTAGCTTTGCATGTAAGAAATCATTGCCTAACTGAAGGTTGTAAAATTTTCTCCAATGTTTTTTAAAAAAGTGTTACAGTTCTAGGTTTTACATTTATGTTTATGATCTGTTTAAGTAATTTTTTTGTATGATGTGAGGTATGGATAAAGATTTGGGGTTTTTTTTTTGCCTGTGGATATTTAGTTTTTCCAGTTGGAAAGGCTATCCTTTGTGCACTGAATTGTCTTTTACCTTTATCAGAAACCATATTGGCCATATATGTGTAAAGCAATTTCTGGATTCTTTTTTCTGTTCCATTTGTCTCCATGTTTATTTCTTAGTCCCATTCCCTTGATTACTGTAGCTTTATAGTAAATCTGAAAGTCAAGTGCATGAATCCTCTAACTTTAAAGGGTATGTGTATTTTGCTGTTTTTGTGTAGAGTTTTCTTAAAATGTCAGTTAGGTTAATTTAGTTGATAGTGCTGTTCATGTCTTCTATATTATTGTGACAATTTGTCTACTTTTTATTTTATCAATTGCTGACAGGGTATATTGAAGTCCCCAACTGGACTTGTGCATTTGTCTATTATTTCTCTTTTCAGTTCTATCAGTTTTTGCTTCATGTATTTTCAAGTGTTGTTGTCAGGTGCATTCACATTTACATTTGTTATGTTATGTCATTTTGGGGGATTGACCCCTTTGCAATTAAGTAATGTCTCTCTTTATCCTTGTTCTGAAGTCTAGTTGACCTGGTATTAATATAGCTTTTCCTGCTTTCTTTTGATTAGTGTTAGAATAGTACCTCTTTCCCAACATTTGGTTTTTAACTTATTTATGACTTTATATTTAAAATGAGTTTCTACACACAACATATAGTTTGGTCTTGACTTTTCAATCCAATCTAAGGATCTTTATTTTTAACTAATGTGTTTATAAGGTTTACATTTAATATAATGGTGACTATGATTGGATTAAAATCCACTGTATTGTTAGCTGTTTCAATCTCTTATTATGTTTTCCCTCCACTGCATTTCATTTTTGATTATTCTATTTTAACTCCACTGCTGATTTAATAATTTTTCTTTTAAAATTATTTTATTCATTGCCTTAGGTTAGAGAATATACATCCTTAATTAATCAGTCTACCTTTAAATAATATCATACTAGTTAATACATAGTATAAGGGCTTAACAGTATTTTCCCTATTTCTTCCCACCATTCTTTGTGCTATTGTTGTCATACATTTTGTTTTTACATGTGCTATAAACACAATGCATTGTTAACATTTTTGTTTTAGATAGTTGTCTTTTACAGCAATTAAAAATAAGGAAAGGTGAGTTATATATTTACTTCCATTTATTCCATTTCTAGAATACTTTATTTCTTTATGTATATGTTATCACACCAAAGTTTTTAAAAATGTATTCACATTTTTTCTTTTAATTTATTAGCATTTACAACACCAGTTCCTGACTCCTCCTGGCTCTGTTAAAAATTTGTTGTGCTTAGGCAGGTGGGAATACGTTTGATTTGTATAACTTTTTTGTGCTTACTTAAAATTTTAGAACCGTAGAACTTAATATATCTTAAGAGTTCCTTTGGCTTAATCTTTAAAGCCTGACAGGTTAACTTCATCTGATCTTATTTTAAGATTTATCTGCAGTTCTCCTTCTGAAGTTGAGACTTAAGCCTACTTGGCCTGTGAGTCTTTCTTCGTCCATCTTGCTGTCTTCCTCTCATGTGTGGACAGGGAGCATCAGGACCACACTGTCCTGCTTTTCACTGTTCTCCTTTTAGTAATCTTACCCATATATGAAGTTAGTTACTGAGTCCCTTCTTATTATTCTCCTTTACAGGTGAAAAGCATTCTGTACTTCAAGTTTTTTATAGAGGGATAGATCTATTTTGTCTCTATCTATCTTTAACCATGTTTATAGTATTTTCCTCTAAATGTTCCACATAATTCTTTTGTTAGGGCATGTGTAAATTAGTGGTAGCTGTATTCACCAAGATGAAGGAGCCAGAATCTCAATGGGGCTAACATTGGCTCTGGGAGAAGACCAGGGCACCAAATGAAGTGGTGTAAATTCCCAAGGGTCCCCAGCTCCCTTGCCAAGTAGTGGAGACTGTTCTGACCCTTATAGCCACATACTAAGTGCTAAATGTACACCCTCTCCCTGAAGCCGTGAGCCTTATTTTACTCCAGATATGTTTTTAGGAAAGCTCAGGTAGTCAGGAGTTGGGTGGATGTGCTCTATAAGCTAGGTTCACCTGAGGGCCTGGATTATTCCAGAACCACTGACTGCAATAGCGCGAGGTATATCGTTACTTGTATAGGGATGGGGCAAAGGGAAAAAGCAGACTGGAAAACCTAGAATTTTTCTGAGCAAACTGTATTTAGTTGCAACAGAAAAAATACTCTGGACATTTGGGCTGGTTCTATAGTAGAACTTATAAGCACTTGTCAGTTATGTGGGTAACTTTAAGAGACACTTATTTTCAAGCTGTCCTTTCATTTCATGTCCAGAGCATAACATTTTCTTTTTGTCTTTTTTCCCCTCAAGGGGTGCTACATCCATTGTGTACAGATGCAAACAGAAGGGGACCCAGAAGCCTTATGCTCTCAAAGTGTTAAAGAAAACAGTAAGTTTCTTTCATTATATAATAGCATCTGTAAGGAACCTGTGACCTGGAGAAGCCAGGGGCCCTGATTCAAAGGACAAAGGGGCCAGAGCATTGCTATGTGCAGCTAAGTCATTTGAATCTCAATTATGAGAGTACAACCAAATGGGTTGTTGTCTGATGAAACTGTGTGACTCTGAAAATGACTGGATGTCGATTAGATGTGGATGTGGGGAGAAGCATGGAAAGGAAAAAGTATTTAGAGCTGGCAAGAGAACCGTGCTTTGTATATCAGTCATGTTTTTGGATATGCATATATGCCTAGATTTTCAAATGTTGAGTTGGCTTCAGTAAAGCATAACTGGACAAATGCTAATGTTTCTAGGACTTACCTGCTCATCTAAGAAGTTTGTATTTGAACAATAGAGAAAAATGTTGTTTGGGGTTTGCTTCTTTTTGCTCTATGCTTGTTGGAGAGCTGAAGGGGCAAAAGGGATTTAGGCTTATCTCCAAAGAGTAAGAAATGCAGCAGGTGAAAGTTCAAAATACAGATTCCAGCAGGATGTCATGCCCCCTGTGCCCCAGAGAGTATTTGTCATTATAATGCCCTACATGCATTTTCTGTCCTTGAGTGGTTTCCCCTTATAAAAGCACAGCAAGACAACATACTCTTTTATATCACATTCTTCCATTCTCATTTATATGAACAAGTATGTGAAATATATATCCTTCTGGAAACGCAGTTGTAAAGTATTCTGAGAAGTATCAGAAATTTTGAAGTCAAATAATACTTCCTTTAGGCCAAGGGATTTTTTTTTCCCCCTAAAGACAGCTTAATATCACCAGCTGTTATGTATTGTCTGGCACAAGGAAATTTTAGAATCTCATGTAATGAAGAAGAGAATAATGGCACAGGGCTTTCAGTTGAGTGGAAGTAGAATGATATTTTGAAACTGTGTGTTAGAATTTAAAGCCATAGCAATCTGACAAAGACAGTTTAATTAATGATTGAATGGCAGTTGCTACTAATAAATTCTGTGTTCTGGGTTTCCTGTTTGGTGCAGGCAAGGATTTAAGTTACCCCAGAATGTTGAGGAATCTTTTAATTGGTAAGATTTGAAATTTTCTCTTAAAGCAATTTCCTATAGTCATAAAATTTAAGGATTATTAAACAGTTTATGCAATAAAATTTCCTGTTAAATATCTACTTTTTATGAAAACAAACTGACGTGCTTTAGCAGGAATCACACACGAGATGTTTTGGGATTTGTTTGCATCTTGCCTTACTGGTTAAAAGAATTACCAGTAACATTTGTGAATGGTTACTTTTTTTCATATTTGAGGAAAGTTTAAAACGGACTAGATATATGAAAGTATAGAAACATAAACATGCAGAAGTCACTTGTAAACACCCAGAGTCCCAAAGGAAAAGAGTTGTCATAGTGAATGTTGGTTTATGTCAAAAAATCTTTGGATGAATTGGAATTAGGGGGAGTGAAGACATTCACTGGGCCATTATTCATAGTCACTGGAAAGTAAAGCTCCAGTTTGCCCTCACTGTCTTTTTTTTCACCTCTGTTGTGGAAACATCTTCCTCAGAAGACTGGCAGGAAAAGAATGTGGACGGGAACTGAGTGTCAGATGGAGCTGCAGAGCAGTGCTGTGAGGCAGATGTTGTCAAACACAGCCCCTGCTGTGCCAAATGGAATGAGAGAAAGTCCCCTGGAGAAACTTTAGCTTTGAACATGAATTAGATAGAATCCCCAGCATTGTCTCCTAGAGTAAACCATGCATAGAGATGTGTAAATGAAAGAAATAGCAGGCAAAACCTCAAAGAGCAATTCTCTCCAGTGTTTAATTCCGTGTAGGTCACAGAGATGGAAACTTCCTTATCTAAGTGAAATGAATGAAACCGAAAAATCTATATATAGAGGGAAAGTGATGCATGGAAAACAAAGTATTTTCCCAGAGAATTCAGCCAAGGATCTGTTCTTGAGGGGAAACGGGGGTTTTAGAAAATGTGAGTTATGTAATCTGTCTCTTAGATTGTGCCACACAAAATTGCCTCTATTAAACCATTTTTTTCTCCTACAAAAATTGTATGTGTTCACTTTACAACTTTGGGCCACTATACTATTTTACTCGATAGTTCTTTAAGTCCTCATTTTATGACTAGACCTAAAACTAAGAAGTCTGAAAGATAGTCTGTCTGTCTATCTATCATCTATCTGCGAGAGTTTCCTAGGGCTGCTTTTTCCTAGGGTAGCTCCTACCAGGGCTACCACGGACTGGCTTAAAACAACAAAAATGTATTCTCTTACAGTTCTGGAGGCTAGAAGTCTGAAATCAAGGTGTCGGCACAGCTGGTTCCCCCTAAGGGCTCTCGGGGAGAATCTGCTCCATGCCTCTCTCCTTGCTTCTGATGACAGCCAGCAATTGCTTGGCGTTCCTTGTTGTAGATGCATCACTCTAACCTCTACCTCCCGCCTCACATGGCCATCTTCTCCCTGCGTATCTTCATATCATATTTCCTGTGTGCATGTCTTTGTTTGGATTATCCTCTTCTTATAAGGACACTGGTTCTATTGGATGAAGGGCCCACCTTTTGGGGAGACATGATTCCATCCATAACACTGTCTATTACAGAGGACCTCTAAGGTGAATTTCAAAGTATTCCATTCAATAGTTATCTGAAGATAAGTAAAACTTGTATCACATTCAAGAAAGTTAATAAATTTAAGAGACCTCATCCAGTTTACAGGTGATTAAATTAATATATAAGCATTTTTAAGTCCAAGAAAGATTTCCTATCTCTTTCACAGTTAATTATTTGATCACAATAATCCCCTTTCCCAGGATCTGCTTAAATGCGGTTTTAGCAGTTTAACCAAATTTTATTTTGTGGCAGTATTAAGTACCTTTTTCATAGCTTAATATTTTAGGAAGAATTGAGTTTACATTGGTAATAAGAAACTTATTCCTCCATAAAACACCCTGATCATCACTGAGAACCCTCTAGGCACTCGTATGTCTGGGTGATAAACAAATACTTCAATTTGTCATAGGAAGACAAACGAAAGCACCAGCTCTTATGGAGACACCCATATTCCAGTGGTGGTCAGGTGCAAGGCAGAGTTAATACTGATAACGAATATACATTGTTATGTTCAGATAATTGGGCATTTTAGCTAATAAAATATCCCTGAGGGAAATTAATATGTAATTATAATACAAATATTTACAATACGTATCAACCAAGGTCATAATATCTGCAAATTACTTTTCAACGGTTACACAACAATGAAATGAGTGTGTGTGTGTGTGTGTGTGTGTGTGTGTGTGTGTGTGTGTGTATACACACATATGGGGGGGGGAGAGAGAGAGAAAGAAAGAAAATTTGGTAAAAATCAACAATTATTGAATTTAGGACAGTATACTAGTGTCCATGATAGTATTTCAGCATTTCAGTATATATGAAAATTCTCATAACAAAAAATTTGAGAAACACACACTTCAACCTTGAAATACGGTTCAGTATGACTTTTCATTTCTTTTGGCCCTTCGGAAAGCATCTCAAGGTCTTTCAGTTACTAAATGTTATGATAAACATTGGTGACTCTCTATGATAGATGTATTTTACTACCAGGGAATAGAAAATGAAAGTTGAACCAACTTTTTACTGAAAAAACCTGGATGTTTCTGAAAACAATATCCATTTGTCTTACTGCATCATTAATGAGGATAAGGCTTTGAGGCTAGTAAAAGTAAACAAAGGAGAAAAATGAATTGAAGGGCTTTTTCAGTTATTATTCTTGTACTGAACAAGTTGTCAAATCACTAGAGTGGCACCCATTCTCTCCTCTTGGGAAAAGGTGGCCTATTTTGTAATTTTTACTTTGAAATAGTTAGATTCCCAGGTAGTACTAATTTAACCCTAAATACCTCATTACCGTGCACAAGGGAACTAATTGGCTTGCAGGCATCAGTGGAACTTTTACTCTGAACTTTGTAAAGCACGAGTCAATTGTGAAGGAAAAAAAGCTATTTTTTTCCTTCATGTATGAGCCCTTCATCATCTCCATTTGATGTGATATTTAGAAGAAATTGAATTAGAGTAGAGAGATTTGTTAAGCTACTTCCTCGGGTTAATGACTTGGGGGTCTTAAAGGATCTGACAGACACAGCTAGTAGGACAAGCAGTGTTTTACAAGATGGAACCCTTTCTACTGGTGTTACATGACTTTTGAATATGCTGAACTTAAAACTGCACAAAAGGGAAGAAAATAGATTCAAGCAGGTGTCAAAATTTGAACAGATTAAGCAGATGGAACTTCGGCCTGGACTGATTTTCACTGAGTTAAATGGAATCACAACTTTTGAAGACTGACATGGTGATAATGGAAACCCTATTTCAGGAACGATCGCATGCTTTACCTTCTGTAGGAGAATATACCTCAGAGTGTGTCTAAATAATCACACTCCAGCTCAATGAATCTGGCTCATTTTCAAAGAAAACTAATTAAGATTTAAGAAAATTATGCTCACCAATCATTTATAGCGTCCCTGGAATTTTGGAGACAAATATTTACATTCTAAAATTCAGATGAGGTTTCTAGCTGTGTGACTCAACTTTTGGAAAAGATTGCACTTTTCAGCTTACTGTAAAATCCCTGCCCTTTCACAAAATACCCAGTATTGAGTCAAAGAATTAATCTCAGTGTGTAAATTCAAAATTTATGAGTCTGAGAGCCGATCTCAGTATGCAAATTTGGAATGTATAGGTATGGTGACTCTGCTTATGAATGGCTGTGCAGTTGTGGGGTGAGATCATGGGCTCTGGAGCCAGGCACCTTGAGTTCAGGGTCACTTCTGCCACTTAACTACCTCTGTGACTTTGCAACAAGTACTGTAAATCTCTCAACCTCAGTTTCTTCATCTGTAAAATGGGTTAAAGAATATCTAGCTCATGGTGTTCTAGTGAAGATTAAAATAAGATAATTTATATAAGCTATTTCTCAGCA